ATAGCGACAAAGTCGCTGAGTTGGCAACACTGCAATTGACCCATATTTATGCTGCATTCTCCCATTCTCCCATACTTTCCTGTGTCCTTCTCAAGAACATACTTGGTGAGGATATCAGTCCGTACTCACGTTCTTGTGAATTGAGAAACAGCCTATGTTTCCAAGATGTGTTAAGGTGTCTTCAGTGAGGACTATAACTGCCAGTCATACCAGAGGTGGAAGGAACTGAGAGGGTTTAGGGGGGTTCACCTTACCTGCCAGGCGAAGGGACCCTGAGTTGTAGATGGCCTCGTCTCGCAGCTCTCTCACGTGGACGCTAACGGTGGAGACGGCGTCAGGCCAAATTCCATCTGACACACGGACCTGGAACTGGTAGGTGCCAGGAGGGGTGTTTTCCTTGATGATGAGAAACCCAGTCCGCTTGTTCAGGATGAAGTAACTGAGGGAAAAAAAAAAAAAAAAAAAAAACAGAAACATTTTAAGAAATAGGAAAAGAAAGCACACCCTCCTTTAGTTTCTAGAGCTTGGATAAAAATAATATCACTCAAACATTTCAAGGTTATAAGCAGATTTATTAGAGTAGTTAGAACATCTGAGAAAAACAGAAAGACCTATATGATAACTTCTGAATGTTTATTCAGCAGAACAAAGACTGAAGATTGGATGGACTTGGCTTTGATGTTAGCCCATGTAATTAATCCCAGATTCCACATCCTTGGTTTCCGCCCCGCCCATCTCACGTACGGCGTTCGGAGTACTTGTCCGTCATTTTAATCAATGAGAACTGCTCCACATCCACCGCTACTCCTCCGCACGTCACTATTCATGTATTACTTCTCCGTCCATCACTGTCAAAACACAGAGCCGAGCTACATTTTGCTCAGTTCCAGTCCGGCCAGGTAAAGATCCGCGATTACAATCACACCAAACACAAAAGAGAACATCGAGAAAATCCGGTTTGTTAATTAATTAATATACTAACGACAGATTTGGACAAATTACAGCATAATACTTATATATTCCCAAAAACTAAGACTGAATAATTAAATGATTGGATGCAAACTTTTGGTACTTCAACAAACCAGGAAGCTGATTTCTCATCTCCATCAAAATACCTATTTTATACCAAGAGGTTTAAACATTTAATCAAATCCAGTCAAAATTTCCAAGACTGAATCTGACAGCTTCAAAACAAACTTCTTATTACAGGGATGGATGTAGAGATGCTGACTTTGGAAGTAGAGAACAAGCATAGTTCATAAAACCCATATATGATCCTAGTTATCCCTGTTAAAAAAAAATCCACAACAAAAAAATAAATATTTGGGCAGAAACTGCACATATGCTGGATGCTGATGGGGATTTTTTAAATGTGTCATATTAAATTAATAATTTATTTCCATAAATTTTGCTCCTATAAATTTAATGATAATAAAAATATTTTGCATGTTTTCCTCGAGCTCCAAGGAAGTAAGAGCTGAGCAGGATGGGAGCAACAGTGGAGGCTGTAGGCTTTGATTTGTGCAGGCGGTCTGGAGTGAAGCGGGATGGAGCGGAAGGGGCTGGTTACAGAGGATGTGGGATTTGAGGGTTGGTTAGAAGGATCAGATGAATGTAGTGATGCCAGCTGCTGAGCTAGAGCAGTCTGCTAATGTGTTACCACAATCCAATGAAGGAAAACAACACATTGCACTACTATGTCACACCATCATTTTCCTGACCTTCAAACAATTTTACTTATGGGAAACTACCAGGTGTCCAGAGGCCATGACCCAGGGGACAATCACTACTCCGGTTATAACAAAAGCACTGGTGAAGTTTTTTTCAGTGTTTGGTCTTCCCAAAGTTGTCCAAAGTGACTAAGGCACCTATATAACAACGAGCATATGTTGTCTGTCCAACAAAAAGGGAAGTTATGAAACAGGAAGTAGAGTGTCTGATTAAAATGTTTTTTGCATTCCAAGTTGTAGCCCATGGAGTTCTTCATGTTTACTGAGCATAGAAGCTGGTGGAAGCCCAAGGTTACAGTCATTGATGCCCACCCCTTACCCGCACTGATCATCAATCTTTCAAAGTGTGAGTTTTGAAAAAGTGCCATTATCTATCCTGGTCAACAACCTGTGGATGCAAAGGTAGTTTATTTCTGACTTCTTTCCAATAGAAGAGGGCCTGTTGGTTCCTTGGGATGGCAGCGTTCTAGTTAGGGTGGCCACAGGTCCGGCTTTAGGGCGGACAGTCCGGATTTTCATTGCACTGTCTGAAAAGTCTTCTGACTGGATCATTACACTGACGTCAGGCGCCGCATCCAGCCGGATGTGTATTTGTCCTCCTTTATGAGGCACTAGGCTTGTAG